CCCCCCCCCCCCCCCCCGAGCTGGAAGGCGTCTAGTTTGCTCACAACTCAGCACCTAGGGCCTGGTTTATTGCCTCCAAACCTCCAAAGTGCAAAATGTCCACATCACATGGTCACATGTCAGCTCCCATTCTAACCCTCATGATTAATGGACATCAAGAATAAAGGCTTCCATTCACAGGAAGAAGTTCTGCCCCGCGGGAGGGACAGGAGTGTGGTTGCCAATTTAAAAGTCTCTGCTTGTTTGAAAGATTGCCCAGGCAGTCCCCAGCAAAAGCCTCAGGTGACCACTAAGATTGGCAAGGGACCAGACTGGATGGCAGGAGGGGCTGCGAGGAGCTCCCARTTCTCTGAGCCTCAGCTCCAGCAGGGAGCAGGGAGAAGCGGGCAGAACCCTGTGCCAGCCCCTTGATTGGCTCGGGCCACCAACACCAGCTACTTCATCAAGCACACGGAGCAAGGCTGGTCCAGCCGTCATCCTTGGGGCTGGCAGCAGGGGTGGTGACTAAAGGCTGCAGGGCAGACCCCGTGCAGAGCGGGCAGCCCTGATGCCCCAGATGCCCCACAAACAGCTGCAGAGCAGGCGGGGTCTGAGTCAATCTGCCCAGCCCACGTGGCTTTGCCTCTTCTGACTGTAGGTGGCAAGTTGGGGACAATCCACTATAAAGGAAAACGCATGGGCACTTCTAACTTCCTCAGAGACCTGGTGCCATGGAAATCTTGACCCTGCTCCCTACTCACTAAGGGACTGCGGACCAGTCAGTTCCTCGTCCCATATCTCGGCTACCTCATCTGTGAAACAGGGTGTCTCTCAAAAGTGGCCCTGAGGACTGCACATGCATCTGCCCACCTGTGACTCATGTCTCTATATTTATTCAAAATATAGTTTTATGTATGTGCTTGATAATTTTTTTTAGCTTTTCGGTGGACACAACATCTTTATTTTTATTTTTATGTGGTGCTGAGGATTGAACCCAGTGCCCYGCGCATGCCAGGCGAGCGMGCTACCACTTGAGCACCATCCCCAGCCTCATATATGCTTGATAATTTACACACGAGCCTCACTTCCTTTAGAAGAAATGCTGCACCGACTACTCAGGGCAGAAGCAGTCCGAGGAGCAGAGTGCTTAACACGGCGCCAGGCCCCACTCACTCCGGGCTGCCCTCTGAGGGGTCGTGGGAACAGTCCATCTCGGCTCTGCCTGGCCCAGTGCGGGGGCTCCCGAGAGCCTGCATCCCTTCCATGGGGGTGCCCCCTTGCCTGGGGCTGGCCCTCAGTGCCTTGCCCTGGGCCTCTGCAGGGCGCTCTGGGCTTCCTCCCCGCGTGTGTGCCCGTGTCTTGGGTCTGCTCATGCAAGCAGGCACGGTGTGACAAGCAGTTGAGGGTGGCTCTTCAGGACTGCCCAGAGCTCTGGGAGGAGTTTCAGACTTCCCCTCACTGAGAGCAGCGCAGCGAGTTGGARCTACTATGACCAGAGGAAGAGGTTGGCATCCTCCTTGGTCCTTTGTGCAGAGACATGGAGCTCAGCCCACAGGTGGCCGGGGGGCAGTGGTGAAGGCTGCCCACACCCTTTCCTTCCTGTCTTTATATATGGTGCAAGATTCACTTTGAAGAGAGGTGGCCACAGACACCCCTGCCCCCAAATCAGTGGTCTTCAGGCGGGGACATCTGTTCTGTTTGGAACACTGGTTGCCTGAATCCAGGGAAGGCAGGTGAGCTCAGCCACCTCCYGACTCCTTTCGGCCGAGCAGGGAGGGAGAATGGGAATTCTGGAAGCAGAGTCACCAATGCACAGGCACTTCCCAGGACTGGGGTGCAGGCAGGTGGGAATGCYCCGGAAAGAGGCAAAGGGGACATATCTGGCAAAGACGGAAAACTTCACATTTCACAACAAGTAAGATCAAGGGGCCTGGTGCTYAGCGCTGTGCTGGGGAGTGCTGGGGGCAGGGGCAGGGTCAGCTGTGCTGCAGAGGACGGTGCTCCACCCTCCTGCCCCTTTCCATGTTCGTGCCTGGCACCCCGTCCACCCTCCTTCCAACACGTGCCCTGTGGTGGGCTTTCCTGGGCAGTATTGCCACTGCCACTGTCCCAGCCTGTCTCACTCGCAGGGAGTGAGTGGGGCCACTAGTTGGGAACTAGGGAGCCAATGGCACCAGRAGACCTGGGGGACRGGGCCACAGAGGACAGGCAAGACTTCTCCAGGGCCTGCCAGGATGCTTGGGGGCTGCCAGTAAGATCTGCAAGTCTGCTGACATGGAGCTTCCTTCTGAGAGTCACATTTGGATCTGCACTTCGCCAGTGCTACCCAGACAGCGCCGACTGGTCCCCCAGCCCCGCCTTGAGGTGCTCCCAACCCCACGCAGCCTAGAGGCGAGCAGGGGACAGAGGCAGACAGCGAGCTGGCCTAGCAACAGTGCAGCTCAGCCAGGCTGGCTGGGGGACAGGGAGGCACCAGGAGCGCCCCTCCGCCTGCAGGGAGTGGAGCATGCTGGCCTTGGCCAACAGCGCTCGCAGCCCATGCTCTCKGCCAGCCTGCAGCCAGGCTCTAGGCTCGTCGATGGAGACACTCGCTGCGTGTACCAGCAGAGTGGCAGGTGCCTTCAGCACTCCAGAAGCTTAGAAGTAAAGACACAGGTCATGAGGGGTATCTCTCCTGGCCATTGTTCCAAGAACGACTGGAGTAACAATAAAGAAGCCCACGTATGGGAACAGATCTTTGAAAAGAACACATGGAATTACAGTGGCTCTGAATCAAGGGGCGACCTTCCTTTCCTTGGTATTTTCTGAGCACTCTACACAGCTGTTTTCAGAGCTGCATCGCCCTTATGTCTGGGTTGTCCTGCTCCCAGAGGGACTCCTACACACCCATCCTTTCAACAAATGGCAGAGCTGAACCCACCGGTCCGTCAAGCACCCTGCAGGAGAGCGGGGGTGCTGAGGCCTGGTCCAGCCCCAGCTCTGCTTGTTGGGGTCACTCCTGAGCATTTACTCCCCAGCTTGCCAGCGTCCTGGTGCCCTGGGACCCTGCTGGGATCTTGCGGGGCCCTTCCAGGGAGAAGCTGTCATCTAGAACCCAGAGGTGTCTGCCCAGCTCTGTCACTCCTTCTGGAAGTGTCCTTTTATCCCAATAAGCCCTGAGCCACCTGCACAGGCAGGTTCCAGGCACTTACTTGTTTTTGTTGTTACTGGATTAAAAAAATAAATCCCACAGTTAGTGGGGAACTCGGCTGTGGGCCACAGAGGACGGGCAGTGCCCTCCCGGCCGACTTCAGAAGGAAGCTTCGGGGAGAGCCTGCAGCCCGACCTTCCAGCTGACTGACCTCTGCCAATCAATCAGTCTTTTATTTTATGACAATTTTAATTTCCTTGCGCGTTGACAGGTTAGGTGGGATCACTTKGGTGGCCGTGGACAGAGTCCCAGGATGGGCTCACCTGGACTCACTGACTGGTCTAACGTGCAGCTCGAGGGTGGCGCTGGTGTGGGGCACAGCTGGGCACAGGAGCTGAGGTGGTGGCGTCAGGGCAGGGCCATCAGCTCTGACGGCCACCTGTGCAGCCACGTCTCCCATCCCCGGGGCGGCCTCAGCTCTGGCGCAGGCAGGGAGCAGGCCAGACAGGGAGCTGCCATCCTGACGGGCACCGCGGCAGGAAAACCGGGACCCAGGTCCCAGAGCTTCTTGTCTCAAGGTGTGGGCGAGGTCCCCCTCTGGGGGCCTAAGGGCACGCACTCACCCTCTCGGGGACACGGGGGCAGCACAGGAGCCTCAGAGGCGCCCCTACACCCCCTGGGCTACAGTCTCCAGGGCCGCAGCAGCAGCACAGCAGGACGTCCACTCCTCCCCAGGGTGGCTCTAGCTGCCTGGGCAGCCCCCAGGTGACTTGTTGGGTGGTCTGGCCAGGGCCACAGTCAGGGCACGGTCACCCAGGTGCAGGCCCTGCAAGCAGGAGGCGGCCTGCTGGGCTGCAGCCAGGTCCCGGTAGTGGAGGAGCRCCCTGTGCTGCGGCCCCCGCCAGGCGAGCTGCAGGGGCACCACCCGGAGCTCGCGGAGGGCTCTCTTCAGGTCCCTCACGCGGGCATCGTGGGGGAGGTTCCCCACACACACGGTGGCAGCCGGCACRTCCTCCCCATCACGGGAGCCACAGGCTGCTTCCAGGGAATCTGGCCCTGGCCGGGGTGCATCGTGGGGCCTCCTGACCGTGCCTGGCAGCGCTGGGTGCTGGCCGGCGGATCCCAGGAAGGGCTGGTGCTCAGCCTGAAGAGCGACGTCCTTCCCCGCCCGCTGCTCTCGGTCGCGGAGGCTTCTGAGTACCGGGATTTTCCCAAGCATCTCAGGGCTGATCTGAAAGAGTCAAGCAATTCCGGCAAATCAAGGGTCCGGGGTCACCACGGGGCGCCTGCCAGACATTCCCGTGAGGAACTGACCACCCGCCTGCTGCACAGGTGGGGTGCGCCGGCTGCGAGGCTCTCGGGGAGGAGAGCCCCTCTTTCTAACAGACACCGCCTGCAGCTCTGGTCCCCACCCTCAGCCCGGGGGAGCTCTGCACCGGTGACGCTGCTCTGGACTGTCCCCACGTACCACGGTGGCTGCAGAAACCAGCCCAGGAGGCCAAAAAGGAAGCCTGGGCCCTTTCCAGAGAGGCACCGAGGGTCACGGGCATTAGGGTCACTGCTCACTGGCACTGCCCTTGACTAGCCCCAGAACAGTGGGGGTTTCTGCCCCAGGGAGCTGTGGGTGGGACGAGGTCCTGCAAGSGCCACAGGGATCCTCTCGCTACTGAAGGAACACATCCAGGGGCCAGAAAACGCAGACTGGACGCCACCTCTGCTGCCAGCCACCAGCCGTGGATCACCAGGCTGTGAAATGAAGTCACACGAAGTCCAGTCGCCTCTGGGGCATCTGTGTGAGGGCTCCGTCTAGATCAGTACTGTCCACCAGGGAGGCCCCTGGCTGCCCCACAGGCGGTGGAGGAAGTGGCCGGGAGCAGGCCTGGCCGCAGGGCCTGTTGTCACAGCCGGCCCCAACTGAACTGGCTGGACACAGCTCCACTGTGAAGCCCGGTGGCTGCCAGGGGACAGCTGTAGGAGGTGCTACTGGGGAGTGAGCAGCAGGCAGCCCAGGGGCCACAGTGCCAGCCAGGCCTCGACAAGTCCCCTCCGCAAGGTGCTTCTGCTGGTGGACAGCAGGTACCGTGGCTCCCACAGCAGGGTGGACGTCGGCTGCAGGTCCGCACCAACGCTACTTGGTCATGTGGTGCCACAAACCAAAGGGCTGCAGTAGCACCGCCATCCCATCGCGCTCAGAGCCCAGGATGGCACGACGGACSTTCCCCGCCAGGGCCTGGCTCTCCCAGGAGCCACTCGCCTGGTTCTGAGCATCAGTTCCAGGGTCCTCCAAACTCCAAGAGGAGCCGGGCCCCAGGCAGAACCAACATGTGAGAGCAGGGCTTAAGCCCAAACGGCTCAGAGAGTCCAGGGCCTCCTCGCGAGCCCCAGTCGCCGTCCTCCTCCATTTCCCCGTCTCTAGCACCGGGTGCAGAACCATCTTCCCCTTTGGCAGAAGGCCTTCCTGGGGTCACAACCCTCTGTGCCGAGCTCTGTCCTGCCTCCCTGGCAGGCACCCTCTGACTGGCTTCTGAAGGGCGAGGACTGGCTGCTGCGGGTGACGTGCTTCTTCTAGTCGCCTGCGGCTGACATGAATGAACCAAGACGCAGACAAGCTGGGCCACACCTGGATCATGGCCCACCGCCTCTCCCTGATCCCAAGCAGTCCCCAGGTCGTGGGACGGGTCCACGAGTGAGCTCTCTTGTGGCTCCCTTTGCATTTCTCTTAAGACTGTAGAATGCCACCATGGAGACTCCCCACTTCCTGCAGAGGCCCCAGAATCTTCCTAACGTGGCTGCAGCTGATCCATCCTCCTGATGACCACAAGGTGGCCTCACAGCAACCTTCCCAGGCTCTTGCTCCTGTTCCAAGGAGACAAGGCCTCACTGCCACCTATGGGAGTGGCCTCCACTTCAAGGAAGCATGGACCTGGATTCCAAGGTGAGTTCAAGCTCTTCAGAAAGACTCAAGGGACRCCCTGACTTCCAGGAAGGGGTGAGCACCTCTCCCGGGCACTCTTGGTGTCCTTGGAGGGCCTGCCCGTCCGTTCCCATCCACTCTGAAGAAGCCACACCACCAGGCAGGAGAGCCCAGCTGCAGGACAARGCACCAGGCTGAGGCCAGTGCCAGCATCCAGCGTGGTTTGCCCTGGGAGGCAGATGCTCTCTCTGGGCCTGGGGACAGGACCCTCCCTTGCTGGTGACTAGGCTTGGTGGACCAGACAGTGTGCTTGCTGGCTGCCACCAGACTCAGCCTCGGGAGCTGCCGAGGTGACCTGGGCTGCGTGGAAGTCACAGAGGTGACCCCTCRGGGAGCCTGGCCCTGCCTTCCACGTCAGCGCTTCTGCCTGAGACCCAGGTCCTGGAGGACAGATCCAGGTCCTGTCTGCAGGGCAGTCGGGACTTGGGGGGCGGGGAGGGACCGGCTGTGCTGTAGCTGGGACGGGAGGAGACAGCTCAGACAGGGAAAAGCAACTGGCAGGAGCCGCCTCCAGTCACCGGTGCCCGCTACAGTGATAGACCTTGAACCCGATGCCTCTCGTAACCCGAGTTTGGAAGCAGRGTCTTAGGCCCAGCCTGGAGATGGGACCCAGGAGCTCAAGTGTTCGAAAACTCCACAGTGACTGTGATGAGCCCCACACCAGAGCTCCCACAGTGGATGGCCACAGGACTCCTGCTCCCCAGAGCTGCGGCCATGACCCACCTTGGACCACGTGATTCCTGCCGGCTTTGGGCGCCTGCAGCCTGTGGAGATGACCCTGGTTGGAGTGAGGATGTAGTCCACAGTGAGGTCATGGTCCTCGAGGAGCGCCTCAGGGATGTCCACCACCTGGTCAACACCAATGGGGAAAGGAGCTGACGGCAAGACTGCGCAGCCATGCTCATGTCCCTTGGCAGGAAATGCGAGGCTGGCCGAAAAAGCGCCCTGCCCACCTGGGGTGAGGTCAGCCTCTGCACCACCTGCGGCCAGCCCCACCCCACCACCCTCACACCCCCCACCCGCCTGCTCAGGGCAGCTGGCAGTGAGCAGCCCTCTCGACCAGCCAGAAGGAAGCACCTGGCAGTCATGGACGATGGTGACCACTGGCGTCCCCTCGTGGACGGCTCCCATCGACACCATCATGGCGTATTCAAGGTCAGCGTAACCTTCTCCCTTCCCAATCCTCCAGCCTAAAAGAGGGCAGGCGTTAGCACCTGCATGGGCCTRGGTGCCACTGAGGGGCAGGTTCCTTCAGGGCACTGCGGCGGGAGAAGCTTGAGCCCAGCGCGCCAGCCTCCGCGGCCACCTCCAGGGCGACGCACAAGCAGCCCTCTGAAAGCGCATCGTGGACAAGGGGCCTGTTAAACCCTGGAAAGGGAAACAGCGGAGGCCTGCAGAGCCCCGTCGGGGAGCCTCACACTGGAAACAAGAACGTTCTCAGAGACTGAGAACAGGCAGCAAGATATTCTGACCCATGTACCCAGAGGAGAAATGAAAGGTGCCAGGTGGGCGCAGCTGAAGGGGACATGCCTCCTGGGACRCATGGAGCCGCGGCCTGGGCAGGGCCAGTGCAAATGGTAGCACAAAGGAGCCCAAGGAGAGGYGAGGGTGTGGCTTAGGCTTCACAGCCCTTTGGCCCCGCCAACCAGCCAGGGGACAGTGAAGGTTAATGGCCTTGGGCCCCAGTGTGGACCTGCACTTCCCACTGGTCAGAAGCTACAAGAGTTCCGAGGCCTTGGCCTTGGCCAGCATGGTCCCCGCGCCCTGGGAGGACACGTCACTGCTGYGACTTCCCCAGATCAGACCTGCCGCTTATAATCAGAACCTTAGCCACGCACAGAAACGAGGGGACTCAGGGGGAAAGCAGCAAAGACAGTCACAGAACAAGAAGCTGGGTGTGGCCTCAGCCACCAGGAGGCCGAGGCAGGAGGATGGCAAGTTCACAGCCAGCCTCAGCAATTTAGCAAGGCCCCAAGCAACTGTTTTTAGTCTCAAGACAAAAAACAGAGCTGGGGATGTGGTTGTTTCCCTGGGTTAAATCTCAGTACCAAAAACAAAGAAGGCAGGTGACATGGGAACAGGAGAGAAGTGCTGAGGTCACTGTTTTAACCATGAAATCACAGCAGACCAGGCTGAGGGGCTGCAAGTGCCGGGGCTGTTAAGGAGGCACTGGGGCCCGTGAGCGACCTCCGGGGGCTTCGGCAACACCCACCAGCTGAGTCCTGCGATGCCGCTGCCAGTGGCCCTAGAGGGCCGGGAACGTTCCGGGTGAGGTGCACAATGCTGGTGCACATGTGGCCTGCACTGGGGACACTGCTAGTGGCCCTGGAGGGACGGGGAGCGTTCCAGGTGGGGCTTTCTGGGCTGTTCAGTGCCCCACACCTGCGCATGGCTAGTTCACTCTTTAAACTGGAGGCTGAGCGGGGGCAGCTGGGAATCGCCTTCTCTCCTTCACACGTCTGAACAGGAGGCTCCTGACGGCCCTCTACAGAGAGCGCCGCTGAGCCTGGCCCAAGTCCCTTGCCTGGCCTCAGGGCCAAAGGGCCACGTCCCTGCACCCACCGCTCCTTCCCTTGGGAGCCTCTCCTGCCCCTCCTGCCTCCACAGCACTGGGGAGCAAGAGCCAGCCCCGAGGCCGCTGGGGAGTGGGTGCCCCACGCAGCGCTGGAGGGCCCCCCCCCACTCCTGTTGGCACCAACATGCTTCCACCCCCACGTCTGCATGCCACTCACAGAGTGCCACGGCGGAGACCTCCAGCACACAGGGCTGCCTGACACGGCAGGCACACAGGAAGTCGCGTGTGCAGGTGAGCACAGCCTGACAGCTCAGCAAGGCAGACCTGGTGCACCTGTGCCAGCTCAGCTGGGGGCTGGGAAAGAGGGCACAGCACGGGTGGAGACTGCGAGGGCGTGTGGACAACAGCAGTCTGTGTCACCGGCCTCACTGGCCACAGGACACCTGGTGCTGCTTGGGAGGCTGCAGGCCCCTGGGGCACATGAGGCTGGGAACGGTGCCCCAGGCTGGCTACCCAGCTACGAAAACGAGTTCAGCCCACGTCCTCGGACCTGAGAACCTGAGCGCACCCGAAGGGAGCTGCCCGAGACAGTTCTGTAAAGCTGGGCCGGGACCACGAGGGAGGAGCGGGTCGATTCTTCCCCAAGAATGACAAATGAGGTGGCTCAGAAGAGGCGCCCGCCCAGGAAGCAGGACACCCACCAAGGCTGGCACATGGCACCCGCAGCGGCCTTGCCAGAACAGCGCCCACCAGACTTGCTGGTTCCAATCTTACCTTTTTCAGAAACAGCAACAGATCCCACGACAACTAGATCCACAAGGACTCTGGAATCCAAGCCGACGGGCACACTGAAGTCCCTCACCCCCTGTGAAGGACAGCTGAGCTGCAGGTGGGCCAAGGGTCCTCACTTCCCGTCACCACCCAGGAGCAGGTTGGCCAACCTCCTGGCTGGCTGCATACCCGCGGCAAGGCAGCGCGTTCTGGGAGCGCCAGACCTGGGCAGGCAGGATTCCCACTCTTTCCCAGGAAGGTGCCAGGGGAACTAGTGGCAGTCGCAGACACTGACTCCTCTGAGGCGGAAGAGCAAGTGCAGAGCTCGGGAGAGCCACAGGGACTGAGCCAGACCCTGGCCAGACCCTGCACAGCCGTGGAATCTCAGTGGGCCCTGAGCCTCGGGTTTCTCACCTGCAAGGCAGGGACACCACACTGGCCTCACGGACCAGTGCTGGGACGACTGGAGACAACGGAGGCTGAGTGTCCAGCACATCACTGTCCGACTCACTCATTCAAGGTACAGTGCGGGAAGCCCTTATCTTTACGAAAAGCTCACTCACTTCCCAACACTACTTCAACCCAAACGCACTACGAGTTCATCCACTTCTCCTAAGAAATGGAGGCCTGCAGGTGAAGCCACATAGTCACGGTGCTCACACCTGACCACCAGGACGTCTAGGGACTGGCTCTCACCATGCCCACGTGGAACAGCACCTGGCAGGCCGTCAGTGTGGGGCTAGGCCCCAGCCCCAGGTCACTGTGGGACTGCAGGAGAGCCGGTGTGCCCTTCCCTGAGGCCAGGGGCAGGTCCCCCAGCTCCAGGGATGGGAGGACTCACAGCAGGGACACTGCCCAGAACCATGGCTGAGTCTTATTTGCTATTTACCCACATGTACGTGTGTGTGTACCTATATCTACCTTATTGTGCTTGTTTTTGTAAGCCACAGCAAATTCTATTTTTGGAATATCAATAAATAATATATCATTCAATCTATACATTAGACTTAAGGGGCAAATCCCTGAAAAAAGAGAATTTTAAATTACCTCATTTGTTATTCTCAGATTGGGAATCTGATGACCTGGTATTTACTTTAGAATTCTTTAAAAAACCACCAAAGTTTATTTAACTATAAAATTCAAAATGAATTTTATCACACTGTACCTCACTATAATGTTCACACACTTTGGTTTTACTAGAATGAGGCATTCAAGGAAATCTAATGCATAAACTGTTCGCCATTATTCTGAACTGGTGAGGCCATTTCCAATTAGCAGATCCTGGAAATCCATCCTACCCCCCCCMCCCCAGTTGTTCTGGTGGCAATAGAAGAACAGACCAAAATAAGACACCCAAGGGACACCTCAGCCAGCGCTAGAGGGCGCCAGAGCCCGGGGAACTGGCTTCACCTTCACTTTTTAAACAATAATCTATGAACCGCCGACTTGGTGCAAAACAGAAACCGAGTCACAGGAGCGGAACCCATTTCTTCATGGTTCGTCCACTTGGCTTCCTGGCGGCAGAACCGTGGACACTCTACCTTCTGTCCAGGTGGCGACTCACAGTGTCTTCAGATCTTCCCGGTGCACGCCCAGCCGGAGCACTCACCTGGGAGGTGGCACATCTTCTCAACATGTCTTTGTTGGCTCCAGGAGGAGGTGTGATCCTGTTGAACAATCCTGTTCTCAGCCGGGGCGTTGGAACCAGCAAGGTTTTTTTGCTCTTTTGAGGAAAAAAGATAATCAATGAATTACAAAATTAATTTTTTACATGGGACTTTCTTACATGTTTGCACTGCGTCAGGAAGGGAAGACGATGACTAGTATTTGCATATTTTGGTGTGTGCCAAGGAACTCCCTTGTTTGCAAGCCCAATGACATGGCGTGTCATTGTCCTTCAGCCGCTTGCRGTGTACCTTCCACAGACCTGCTCTCTACTGTACCTGCCACTTGAAAATCTAAATGAAGATCTAAATGCTCAGTGGAAGAGCATTGCCTAGCATGGGTGAGGCACTGGGTTTGAGTCTCAGCACCACATGAAAAAATGAATAAATAAAGACAAAGGTATCGGGTCCGTTTACAACTAAGAAATAGAAAAAATATATATGTTCTCATAAAKATTCCAGTCAGTTTCCCTGTACCTCTGTCCTCTGCACTATGCAGTTACGAGGCGCTAATCTGCAATGGACTCAGCACAGCAAAGTCAATGGTATTCCAGCAAATGTTTTTATCTGCCTTGTTCAACAAGCCACATCCAAGATCAAGTCAAGATTTTATATGGCCATGTGTGACACCCGCTTTCTTCTACCTAGTTCTCAATCTCTTACAGTGTGGCCTAGAACAGGGGTTCTCAGAGGGCCTGGGCAGCAGCAGGGGTCAGCAGCTCCTGGCACCTGTTACAAATGAACCAGATGCTCTGGGTGTGTGGGGGGGGGCAGGGCAGCTATCTGGGCTTTAAGAGGCTTCTGGATGCTTCTAGTACACCTGAGAGCTTGGAAACCACTGGCCAGTCTCTACAGATTATGTGAGGGCAGCCCATGAAGCAGACAAGAGCGTTTGTAAAAGGCCCTCATGTCAATAGTGCATTCTGGTTTTTCAGCAGACCAACCCAAGACCACTAAGACTTATTTTTTTTTTTTTTTAATTTTAATATTTTATTTTTTAGTTATCGGCAGACACAACATCTTTGTTTGTATGTGGTGCTGAGGATCGAACCTGGGCCGCACGCATGCCAGGCGAGTGCGCTACCGCTGAGCCACATCTCCAGCCCCCACTAAGACTTATGAAATCAGTGTGGCTTAAAGAAAGATTCTCAGCCACGCGCAGGCACTCAGCACACGCTGCTGTCATTGCCGCAGGCTGCTTCTCTGCATGGCAGGGTCCAGATCTGGGGCCCACACGTGTCCTGGACAGTTCCCTCCTTCCCAGGAGCGGTACACCCCGAGCTCCGCGGTCTCCGCCCCAGCTGTGCAGCAGCATCACCTGACGAGCTCTGAGAGTTACCGAGGTCTGCAGCCGGCTCCTGGGCTGGCACCAGCACCTGGCAAGGCCAGCAGCCCCCACCGCTCCCAGGCGACACTCCTGGGCAGCCAGGGCAGGCAGAGGCTGCCCTCRCCACTGGTCCCCAGCTGCCTGCAGGAAGCACTCCTACCCAGAGTCCTGATCAGGAAGGGGGACTGAGCCACTCTGGTGGGGCCCAGGGACTGTGTGTGTGTGTGTCTTTTTTGCCACCACTTCCCAGTGCCCAGCGGAGGCTCRACAGCTCAGGAGTCCACCATGGCACCCAGCAGCACTCCTCTCCTGGGCTCTCCCAGGACTGGGCTAAGTCTGACCCCACAGGCCAGGACACTGGCCTCTGCTCTGAGGCTGACAGAACGCCCTGCACCTCACACAGGAGGGCTGGCTCCGGGGTCAGACTCGGCTCTGCCACGACTCGACACTCCCTCTCCGTGTCTGGGGCCCTCSGTTGTCATATGGGCAGGGAAATGGCTCCCAGAGATCTTCTGGATAACTGAAGGGAGCGCCACAGAGAAGGCGTTCGGGGACCGGGCCTTGCAGCACAACCACCCAGGCTGCCCCTCAGGCTTGGCAGGTGTGACTTCCAGTTCCCAAGAGGGACTCACGGTGGGAAAGCACTGCTGGCYACCAGCTCTGCCTCTGGAAGGTCCTCGGGGGGCCTGTCTGCGGCTGAACCACGAGCAACAAGACCCTCTCCTCCTTGGGCTGATTTAAAAAACCAGAGCAGCACCCCCACGTGGCCCTCCTCTGGCAAAACCACCTCTGGTCTTCACTCTACCACCTGGCGGGGAAGGGCCCTGGAGTCACTGGACTTGAGGAGAGAAAGGAGAACTGAGCCACCCCACGAYGTGCCGCAGCCCGAGGCGGACTTCCAGAGACCCGGCAGCGGCCGGAGCCCCAGGGTCAATCGCCAGCAACAACTCATCTCAGCCAAACATTAAAATGAACAGGGTCCTTGGACGTCGCTGCCCCACAGCTTTACCTGGGRTTCATTTACGTCCTTATTTGGGTTTTATAGCAGCTTAAGAGTCATAAGTATCAAATTTATACCAAGTTCTATATTTATGCATTTAAGTCAGGTTATAATAAATTAATTTAAATCAACCCTTTGCAAGGGGCCCGTGCACTTGAGAAAGAGYACTGCACTCTGCATCCTGGAACACATTCATGAAATTTCTCAAAAATGAGCTGTCACGTTTCAAACAATGACAACACTACAAAAGCAGCMAAAAGAAGTGGCCACAGGTGAGCCTGTCTTGATGACAAAGCCCAGGGCTCTCATTTGACCCCCTTTGTCTCTGAGCTTGGACGGTCCAGGGCTGGCTGACACCGGCCGACCAGGGAGGCGCTTCTGGACTGTGCTGGAGAAACCCGCTCCGAGGGCCCTCTGCACTGGGAGTCACAAGCATTGTCACTTGCCAGCCGCTGGAGAGAGGGCCCTYGGGGCCAGGTGGCGTCTGGGGAAGCAGGTTACCTGCAGTGCCAGCAGCCGAACGCCTTCTAGAGGTTTGTCAGGGTCCACTTTCACTTCCTGCGTCCTGGCAAAAACGTCTAGGTCTTTGAGGTTCTGGCAAGCCCGGTGAGACCCCTATTAGGCGGACAGAGAGCAGCACTTACATCCAGGACCAGGAAGCGCGCATTCTTCTGGGGAGCGTCGGGATTCACTTTGATGGTCCTGGCTGTTCTGAACACCTGCAAACGCGGGAAGTGCTCCGCGGCATGAGACGCGCCCTGTTTAAATGCAATCCCGCGTTACCAAGAGGACAGGGATCCCGAGGGGCTTGGTCAGCCCCCACCTGGACGGCAGGGTCAGCTTCCTTTTTCTTTTTGGTACTGTGGGGTGAGCCCAGGGGCGCTCCACCACTGAGCTCCAGCTTTTATCTTTTGACCCAGGATCTCACTAAGTTGCTGGGATTGGCCTTGAACTTGGAATCTTCCCACCTCAGACTCCTGAGTCACCAGGATCTAGATGCRTGCCCTGGAGGGTGAGCCAACTTTAAGACAGACGCCAAGGATCACGGGGGAAACATCTGGGAAAGAGGGCAGGGTCAGTGGACTAAACTAGGAACTTGGTCTTCACTGAAATAAAACACACGTTCCCCAAGTGRAGAGTTTGGCGGATTCGCACAAATTCAGGGGTCACCTCCACCTGAATCATGGAATGGCGGAAGCGGAAGTCCCCCTCCCAGGTGATCCTCTTTAAAGATCTCTGAATGATTCTGCTCCCCSGCCCCCAGCTTCGAGCTGCTTCTCCTGCGCTACCAAGCACTGAGACGAGGCTCGGCCCAGTCAAGAACCACACAAAGGAGAGTTTCTCAGGGAGACGGGCAGCGTGGAGCCAGCTCAACCAAGGACCAGGGCGGGCTAGCTGCCCAGCGTGGGACAGCAGCCCAGTCGAGGGTGCTGGCCAGGGACGCTGGCCCCTCCAGGCCTGACAGGGCCACCGGTATCTTTTCAGAAAGCACTGCCTTGGTTTTTTTTTTTTTTTTGAAAACACACAGCAAAGGCTCCTCTACAGCCCTGTCTTCTGTGCACTCTGTTATGAGCAGACACCTCGGGTCCCTGTTTTCACAGCGGCATCTGAGGCATCTGTTTGCCCAGGGCGCTGTGCCTGGCCTTGCTCTGGGCATTCACAGCACAGGGCTAGAGCCGCCAGCTGGGATAAAGGCTTCCACAGCCACCGTCCTGGGAGCCACCACTAGAAGGCCCCAGCCAGACCCCGCAGCACACAAAGGTGGTAACAGGAGCAGCGGGGTCTCGGCGGCCAGCCAGTCTGGTCTCACCAACTGCTCACAGTGCCYAAGTTCAGATCCACCAGGAGGCAGAGGGAGCTGCAGTGCTGGTGTTAGCACGCAGAAGCAGCCCGTCCTTCAACACTGCAGAAATGCCTCCGTACCTTAAAGTTGGGGATCCTGTGATGAACAGGYCGGGGAAAGTCAGCTACATTTTCTGACTCCATGTAGTCCCAAATTCGTTTTCGAATGTCCTGTTTGGAGCCACCTATGGCAACAGAGAGCTGTGACTCATTGGTGAAATAAAAGGAACTCCACGCGAGAAGGACGCTATATGGAGCTCATGACCACACCAGACAAGATTCAGGTACCAGTCCCGCCCCCGGGCCATCAGCATGCCACTTCTTCCTGGGAACCCCTCCTGCTAGCTCGGCCTGCACACAAGGAGGTGCTGCTACCAAAGCCTCCAYTGTCTTTCTGTCAATGGTGACAAATGATACATAGAGCTGTCATTGTTTTTAACTTAAAAAATGTCCCTGCAGATTAGTCTGAATAGGTGTGGGAAACACGCATGCTTTTTTGTCCAAAGCACCCTACCTCAGGGAGAGGCCGACATTGACCCAGGCAGGCGCCACTGAGGGGCGATCTGCTTTTCAACCTTCTGTGACCTCCCTATTTACATCACCATCCGAAACTGTGCATGCACTCTCTGAGCATGAGGCCCAGACTGAACCTCCTGGGCACAGTGTGCACACGAGTGTCCTCACAGCCAGGCCCTGGAGCCTGGTGCTGGAGCTTCCTCTCTGGCTGCACCTGAAGTGCTCAAGGGACTCAGGGCAGACTCCAGGGAGCTCAGGGAGCACCCATCTCTAGAGAGGGGGCTGGGGCCTCGCCACCGTCAGCCTGCGTGGCACACTCTGAAGACCCRACTGAGCCTCGCTGGCAGAGCCCAGCACTTGGCTTGTTCCTTGTGGCTGGAACCTTTGCACACGCCGGCTGCTGCTGGGAAGTTCTGTGCCCTGTCCCCCAAGCTCTTACTCCCCAAGGCCCAGCTCCAGCAGCAGCTCTGCCTCGGAGCAGGCTGAATGCTCCCCTCCTCGGCTGAGCTCCATCCAGGTGTGCTGCGGGAGCTGCTGTAGGCGAAGGCCCTTCTGACCACTCAGCCTCASGCCCACCCAGCCTCACTTCAACCCCAAAGGTGGCTGAACACGGTTGCTGGCCATGACACGCCTGCCCATGTCTCTCTCCCTTAAGTCTCCTTAGGTGTCATCTCTGCCAGGAAGCCATCCCTGAGTGCTCAGCCCCAGACAGATGCCCTCCCTCAGGAACCCAGAGGACCYCCCCTGTTTGCCTTTCACAGACAATTACCTGGGCATGGTTAGTATCACAGGCAAAGGACCTAGAATATCCCCAACCTGAGAAGGACSCTATATGGGGACAAGAAATGTCAAAATCGCGGCCCCTGCCCTGGAGAGACAATGACTCAGACACATAAGTGACACAAAGCAATGGGCTAACTGGCAGGGGGGGGGATGAGAAGTAAAGGGGCAGGCCCTGCCCTAATGAACCCGCGGGAAGCCGGAGGGTGGTAAGGGCAGCACACGGGGCGCGCAGTGCCTGAACCCTGCTCTGCGCGCCTGTTTGCTCCCCAGGTCAGCCTGGGTCCTGGCCGGCCAGCCTGGGTCTCAGCCCCCGCGCTGGGTCCTGGTCGCGGCATCCTCCCCGAAGGGCGCCACCGCCACGCGCCGCAGTCCCCCCGCCGACCACGGCGCAGTCCGCAGGCGACAGGAGCCCGGCAGGGGCGCGCCGCGCGCGGCCTGGGGACCCTCGCGGCGCCCCGCGAGCAGGACGCGCGCGCACCGGCCCCTGCTGCCCGCGGAGGGCGTCCTCCTGGCCAGCGGCTCCGCGGGCGACTCGGGCCGAGGGGTTCCGACCGCCCCGAAGCCGCCTCCCGTCCCCGCCATCTCGCCAGGTCCTCGTGGGACGCGCGGCCGAGCCCGGGGTCCACCCGGTCCCCGCCGCCGTCCCGCGGCCCCCAGTATCCCCGAGCGCCCCTCACCCGCCCCGGGCTCCATGGCGACGCAGTTTCTRCGCGACGTGACGTCACCGCGGCGCCGCCGCCTGTCACCGCGGTCGCCTCCCCMGGGCTGCTCGCACTTAGCGTCGTGCGCAGGAGCTGCGCGGGCTCTTGGTGGCCCTCGGCTAGCAGTTCCACCGCCGCGTGGCCACAGTGACCCCCTCCCCTGGGAGGAGCCCTGTTGCCCCCCCCCCAGTGGGCGGTTGTGGATGAAGCTGCTGTCAATGGCCACGTGGAGGCTCACTTAGAACTTAGCTGTCACAGGCCCTTCCTGATAGTGTCCTTTAGCACCCGGCCAGAAGGTAATGAATAGCCACAGTGGCCAGCTGTGAGGAGCCTGGCCATCGGCCCTGAGCTGGGCGACTGTGAGTGTCCAGGCCACCCTTTGAGCTTCAGCCCCCTCTTTTGTGGAACTGGTTCCTTCACTTTAGTGGGCAAGGGGAAGGGGGACTGACAAAAGGCCCCGTGACAGCCAAGCCCCTCCCCTCAAGCACTCTGACTCCAGAGCTTTGTGGCTTTCTGAGACCCCCACCCCCCAGCTCTCCTTTCCACTGGCTGCTCTTTGTGAGGATTCTCCTGTCCAGGACCCCAGTGAGCAGCCAGCAACCTGGCACTTCACCACCCAGCCAAAGACGGTCACCTCACCACAGTAGCACTCCTGCCTCCCAGTCTCCTGCTTTTCTTTCCTGCCCTCTGCCTACCTGGACCCCACCTGCCTGTTTTCTGGCTGTGAGTCTGGCTTCCGCCCTGCTCACCTCATCCCAGCACCTGCCTCCCGTGGCTCCAGTCCTGCTCTGCCTGCCTCCCTTTCTGGCTTTGCTCGTGTGCTTTCCATCTCAGAAATGCTGTTTCCCACTCCACCCTCATTTTTTGCAGGTGGAAAAMTCCCACTACACCAAGAATAAACTTTCTTAAACTGAGGACCAAAGTGACGATGGGCCGCTGTGAGTTCATTGGTTGTAAYAAAAGCACCCACGGATATGCTATCCATAGCAGGGAAGGCGGGGTGGCCAGGGACACGGGGGGAATCTCCACCTTCTACTTGATTTTGCTGTGGACCTAAAACTGCTGGAAGAAACAAACAAAAAGGCTATAAAAAATTCCTCCCCCCAGATGTCCTAGTGACTAGCCAAAGGGGAGGGCAGGGCATGGGGAAACACCTCCGCCCAGGTGGGGAATCTTCCAGTGCTGCCCCTGTGCGGTCACCTTCCACTAGGAAGGCAAGAGGCGCTCTGCAGGGGCACAAAGCCCTCCGCTGAGGGGTGGAGAGAGGGTTGGGTGGCTGCTCTGACTTTCTCAGGGAACCAAAGGTGACTTAGAACRCCTGGCGTGTGTGACGGCCTTCCCAGCCATCCCACGTGGACCTCGGAAACACTGTGGCTGAGTTTTCAAACRTCCCCTTTGCATGTGGGAACCAGTCAATTTAGTCAAAGGAAACTCACGACCATCTTTAAATACACAGCAGGAAGCCAGTGGATTGCAACTCCGAGGGCCAGAACAGAACAGAGGTTGGAGCCTATTTTTGARATGCATTGTAACTGCTARAAGCAGCAGTTACGGTGGAGTCCAGCCAGTAGCAAGGTGTCCTTCTGACAAAGGTGCTTCTGGGCTTTCAGCCAGGCCCAGGGCTGGCATCTTCTCACCCATCAACTGCTGGTCTCCTGTGCTGACAGTGGTAGSGCTGGGAAGCCAGGCCTTCTCCTGTCGGGCTCCCCATGGGGACTGTCATGCTGGGGAGGTCTTTGAAGCTGCAGAAAATGCTTAGCAGATACAACACTGTTGAAGAGCCAGGAAGAGGTGTTTGAGGGACATTGTCTCCCAATTGCCAGATCAATACAGGTTTCTCAGTTAAATTCAAATTTCRAATAAACAATGAACATAGATACAAATATGCTGAATACCACGTATGCTTATTCTATATATGTGTGTGTATGTAAATATGTCCCAGGTAATCTTTGAACATCTTTATGTGCTCAATCTGGCAACCCAAAGCAAAGAATGTTCCAGTTTAGAGTTTTTCTTTCTCTAGTTTCCAGGCCCSGCTGGCTTGCCAGCTTCCCCAGRGACGCACACYGCCTTCTCCCTCCCRTCTGTCCTACCTCGCTTTCTCCCACGGCAGCCCTGGGAGTAGGTAGCAGCGAAGCATCCCTGTGCCCGCCTGGGACAGAAGGGAGGCAGCACTGTGAGGCACATTGGAGGCACCTGTTGAAATTCTAGCCTGGCCCTGGGAACCTGTGGAGGGCTCCAGTGGCTAAGATGAAGCCCCATCCCCTGGTGGCCGCATACCTGCCACAGCCTGGGAGCCGGTGCTGTGGCGATCTCCTCCATCCCTTACGCAGCATCTGCCTAGACTACACCAGCACCTGTTGGCTTGAACCCCACATGGGCGAAACGTCCTGTGGTTATGGCAGGGGAAATGGGAGGTGTCTCTGAAGTGACATCCATTTATTCAATTTATCACTTGGAGCATGGAGTCTGCCCCGCCCCCCCAGCAGGATTCAACCCAGCACAGGGAGACCCTGGACCCTGACTGCCTTCCTGGTGCCTCCATTCTGGTATGGAGGCCGGGCAGACGGCAGGCACAGGGTGGTCAGCGCAGCTGGGAGATGAAACAGGATGTGGTGAGCCSAAGGAAGGAAGGAAGCCAGGGGAGGAAGTGGCTGGGAGCCAGACTGAGAGTGGGGGTCAGGCAAAGGTCTTGAGGAGTGCAAAGGCCCTGTGGGGCCCAGGCTGGGCTGGCGTGGAAGCCCCCTGTGGGACGCTTGCAAGCAGAGGCTGAGGCTGGGGCAGGGGCGTCCTCACCTCTCACTGACTCCTAAGGGGGAAGAGGATCCATGGTGCCCGGGTGGCCTGATTCCGGTGGGGCGGSGGTGGGGGGCTGCTCTGTGCTTCCCCTTTATTCAGTCCTCTGAAGTCTCCCATAAAAGGTAATTTCTGTAAGTCAAAAGACAGTGGGTTTTTACAAGGCAGCATGCACTCCAGTTGGCCAAGGGTCACTTCCCAAGGCATCTCCTGGGCCCCAGGAGAAAGGTGGGGAGGACACTGGCTCGACCAAGGAGGGCAGAGGAGAGGCAGCCTTCCCCCACCTGGCGGCCGGGTTCTCCCTGAGCCTCAGAGGAGGCTGCACTGGCTCACAGGCCTTCCTCTGAGAAGCTTTCTGATCAGTTCCCCCAAACTGTGCGGCTCTGGCAGCAGGGGAGGAGGAAGGCATGCCTTCAGCAACCCTGGGCTGGGGCTGGGGCCTAGCACGTGTGAGGCGCTGGGTTCCATCCTCAGCATCACACAAACATAAATAAAATCAAGGAATTGTGTTCAACTGCAACTAAAACAAACAAACAAAAAAAATTAAAAACAAGCAAAAAAACCTGGGAGCGTTTCCCTGGAGAAGACTTCTTGCTCCCAAGAAGTTTCAAAGACATTTCTGTGTCCCCGCAGATCATGCTCTCGAAACAGGGCCAGGCTACGGAAAACACTGCGCAGTTTATTGACCTTCCCTCCCGCGGCAGGTTTCCGAAGGCCTCTTCCTGCTGTGCAATGCCAAGGTGCGTCCGTAAGGTGTCAGCACCGTCATTAGCGCCGAAGCCACGGGCTTTTCCTTCYCTTTTTTGGCAGAGTAGTTCCCGTGTTGGACGCAGGATGGCGCCAACACCCACAGAGTCTGTCTGAGCCAGGTGACCCAGCCCGGCCGCGCCCGGACGGGAAGTGACACGCTGTGAGGAAGAAACAGCAACTGTCGCCTTTTTGACCGCTTATCACTTTAGTAACACGCAGGGCCCTCGGGGACCCGATTTTGCTTTCGGCTCTGACAATGAGGAAGGGGGAAATCAGCAAGGAAATAGCAGCCCGCAATCCCAAATACGCTGGTAGGTTAAAGCCAGGATGGTAAAGATGGCAAAGTCCAGGTGTGTTTKAATAACCTGAACAGACATCTCTCCCAGGGTCCCACTGCACCGAGAAGAAACCCAATCCCAGGGGAAAGGGAAGTGTCTCTCTCACCTCTTCTGTCTTAAGGAGGTCTCCCTGGCCTTCACTTCTCCTGCCTMATAAATTTGGCAACTCAACCAAAGTTCTCAGATGGCTTCGGTTTAAACCTGGGCTCTCTCAGAGGTACAAAGGCAGGCAGAAACTGACATTTTAGAATTTGTTTTTCAGTTTTTAGATAGTTTGAGTTTTGCCCTATGCTGTGATAAAGCATTTAACACACACACACACACACACACACACACACACACACTCCGGCACATACACACACCTCGTAAAAGCAGAGTGGATAATATCCCTCCGAGAAGCCTACAGACTGAGGGTGTTTCTTGGTCAATAGTTTTGCATTTCCAGTAAAACTGTGAGGCTCAGCATGCCTGTGGTGCATTTCAGGAGAAACGTACTTTCTGTCACATCCTTRTTTTTTTAAAAGATGAATGCAGAAATATTAGAGGTATAAAAAAAAAATAAAGTTGTAGTGGGAGTTTGGAGTCGGGAGAGAAGGCAAGCCATCCACCCCTGAGCTAAGAACTAACTGGGCAGCTTTATTTTACATTGTTGGAAAAGTTGGGAGGGGGGTCAAGTTAGAGAAAGAACCAGAACACCCATAAAAAATGGGTCTCAAAAGTAGGATATTCAAGACAATAGGAGCCTGCTCTGTGCTTTCCTTTTGGTTTTGAATTTATTAGGAGACAAAGATAATGCACACAAATATTTTTGTGTTCTTTCATTGAAAATGAACGAGAGGTCCCTGATTTCTTCTAGACAAGACTTAAGGGGTGGATTCACACTCTTGCTGCGAATTTAATGAGAGTTAGGAAAAGAAACACAAATGTTTTATCTGCAACCCTCTTCCCTACCCAACCGGACCAACAAGCCTGGGCATTGAGGMTTTGCTAAGGCCAGTCCCAGCCCTTCAAGGGGGTGGACAAAGGGGGCTCGGATTATTCGAGGTGTGGAAGGAATAAATAATCGCTCCCTAAATAAACAAATTGTCCGCGGGATTCCYAGAGGCGAGGAGGAAACTATGATGGTCGAGGTCCTAGAAGTCCGCTTCAGGTCAGTATCGGGAATAATTAGAATCCTGGGGGCGTCTTCCACCGTCTGCACCCTCTTACCCAGCCCCCCGAAAAGCCCTGCTGGGCCTCCATTCGTCTTATSAAAACTCAACAAAACAAAAGAGACTAAAATACAAAAAGTCAACTTGAAGAATCCCAAGGGGCCTCTGCCAGCAGCGGAGGTAGGGACTGCRCCCCGGGGTCGGCGTTTGGCAGCTCGCGCGGCGGGGAAGCGTCCACGCGGCGAACCCCGGCGCTCCGCGCGAATTGCGCGCTTCTTCAGGCGAAGCCCCGCGGAAAGCAGGCTCGGGTTTCCCCTGGCCCCGCGGAGCAGCCCGGGCTCCGACTGGGCGCGGGGGGCTGCMGCATTGTTCTGGTCTTCGGGGAGCGGGGGAGTGAGCTTGTCAGAGGGAATTTATTTCTGGGGAAGGGAGAGGCGCGCGGAGAGGGACGCGTGGGCCGCCGGGGTCTGCGGGGGAGAGGAGGGGGAGACGGAGCGGCGGCGGCACTCGGGCCGAGACGGACGACGTGCGGGACCCCGGCGGAGTCCAAAGGTGGCTTTCCCAGGTTGGCAGTGCCCTCCCCACGCGCCTTCCCAGCCCCCCCCCCCCGCAGCCTGACCCGGGGCAGGAGCGAGGGGATTCGGTTTCTATGCGGCGCCTCCAAAACCTGAACAGGTCGTTCCTGACGCCCGGAGCTGGCGACCCGCCGGAGACGATTAATCATCGCCTTAACCGGGWCGGCACCCAGGGCAGGTCCCCTCCACTCGGATCTGGCACGTCCGCTTTTAATCCATAATCTAGGCCCGGATGACTAGGAATCTAACCACTCGCCTCGTCGCTCATTAATAAGAAAGTTCCCCCGGCATCTCTGCCGTCCCCAAGGTGTGGCGGGAGCTACTTGGCTGCGCTCGCCAATTCKATTTTATATTTCAAACTTATTTTTCGCTAAGAAACTTCTATTTTTTTGCCCTGGACACGTGGTCCCATTAACCAAAATACCATAATAAAATAAATTTTATTAAGATAACTCATTTTTAAAAAGACTTTTCAAGTTAGGGCTGAGCTACAAAAAAGGCGAGTGCTGCGCGGCTGGGTCTTAGAGCCGCCGGATTCCTTCGCTCCTCTCCCTGATTGGTGCCATCTCCCCATAGCTGTCGGATGATTGGTCCAAAGTTGCAGGAGGGGGCGCGGCCTGAGGAAAGTAAAAACTCGCTTACGGCAAGAAGACTTTTGAAACTTTTCCCAATCCCTAAAAGGGACTTTGCCTCGTTTTCCGGGCTCCGCAGGGCAGCCACTCTGGACCCCGGCTCGCTGACCCTCCAGGCTGACGATCTGCAGGGAGACTTGGAGACCTGCTTTCTCCCTCCTTGCGCGGACCGGGGGATCATTCCAGTGCACGCGAGGCGTCTCTGCTGCGACCAGCAGTCTGCCCGGCTGCCACCCGSCGGACCCCGAAAGCGCGCGGGCCAGCAGGGCCGGAGCTGTGGTCGCCCAGGGCGCGCCCTCCAGGATGCTGACCCGCCCAGTCCGCTGAAATCGAGCGCTCCTCTTCGGCTCGAGCGCCGGCGCCTCCTCCACCTCGCCGCTGAGGCTTCGCTCAGCCGGGGCAGTCCCCACCGATTCTTTCCCTTCTCGCGCCTCGCTCTCACTCTCCAGGCCTTCCTCGCTCCCCTGGCCGCAGTCCGTGCGCGCAGGCGGTGGCGAGCGGTCTTGGACGCAGCATGCAGGCGCGCTACTCGGTGTCCGACCCCAACGCCCTGGGAGTGGTGCCCTACTTGAGCGAGCAGAATTACTACCGGGCAGCGGGCAGCTACGGCGGCATGGCCAGCCCCATGGGCGTCTACTCAGGCCACCCGGAGCAATACGGCGCGGGCATGGGCCGCTCGTACGCGCCCTACCACCACCACCAGCCCGCGGCGCCCAAGGACCTGGTAAAGCCGCCCTACAGCTACATAGCTCTCATAACCATGGCGATCCAGAATGCGCCAGAGAAGAAGATCACCCTGAACGGCATCTACCAGTTCATCATGGACCGTTTCCCCTTCTACAGAGAGAATAAGCAGGGCTGGCAGAACAGTATCCGCCACAACCTTTCGCTCAATGAGTGCTTCGTCAAGGTGCCTCGCGACGACAAGAAACCTGGCAAGGGCAGCTACTGGACGCTGGACCCYGACTCCTACAATATGTTCGAGAACGGCAGTTTCCTGAGGCGCCGGCGGCGCTTCAAAAAGAAGGACGTGCCCAAGGAGAAGGAGGAGCGGGCCCACCTCAAGGAGCCGCCCCCGGCATCGTCCAAGGGCGCCCCGGCTGGGCCCCCCCTAGCGGACGCCCCCAAGGAGGCCGAGAAGAAAGTGGTGATCAAGAGCGAGGCTGCATCGCCGGCGCTGCCGGTCATCACCAAGGTGGAGACGCTGAGCCCCGAGAGCGCGCTGCAGGGCAGCCCGCGCAGCGCGGCCTCCACCCCAGCGGGCTCTCCGGACCGCTCGCTGCCAGAGCATCACGCATCGGCGCCCAACGGGCTGCCCGGCTTTAGCGTGGAGAACATCGTGACGCTGCGAACGTCGCCGCCGGGCGGCGAACTGAGCCCCGCGGCCGGGCGCGCTGGCCTGCTGGTGCCCCCGCTGGCGCTGCCCTACGCTGCCGCGCCGCCTGCAGCCTACGGTCAGCCGTGCGCTCAGGGTCTGGAGGCGGGGGGCGCGGGGGGCTACCAGTGCAGCATGCGCGCCATGAGCCTATACACCGGGGCCGAGCGGCCGGCGCACATGTGCGTCCCGCCCGCCCTGGACGAGACCCTCTCGGACCACCCGAGTGGCCCCGCATCACCGCTGAGCGCCCTCAACCTCGCTGCCGGCCAGGAGGGCGCGCTCGCTGCCGCGGGCCACCACCACCAGCATCACGGCCACCACCACCCACCGGCRCCGCAGCCCCCGCCCGTTCCTCAGCCCCAGCCCGCGCCGCAGCCCGGGTCGGCCGCGGCCCCGGCGGCTTCCTGGTATCTCAACCACAGCGGGGACCTAAACCACCTCTCTGGCCACACGTTCGCGGCCCAGCAGCAGACTTTCCCCAACGTCCGGGAGATGTTCAACTCTCACCGGCTGGGAATCGAAAACTCGACCCTCGCGGAGTCCCAGGTGAGCAATGCGAGCTGTCAGCTGCCCTACAGAGCCACGCCGTCCCTCTACCGCCACGCGACCCCCTATTCCTACGACTGCACAAAATACTGAAGCGCCCCAGCCCTTCCCTGCTCTGGGCCTCGCCTCCAGACGCGACCCTGTCCGACTGCGAAGGCTGCAGACAGTGACGCACAAAGAAACAAACCATGCCCACCGACTCTTTCTCAGACCCGGGAACCGAGAGCTCGTGCGCCCGCCTCCAGCCGTCTGCGAAGCGTCCATGAAGCGTGCAGGTAACTTTAGTCCGCGGCCCCGTTTCTGAGATCCCAGGAAGTCCCTCTAAAGGGACGCAGCCCAGCGAGATGAATACCGATTTTTAAAATCCCCTTCCCCTACCAGGACGCTGTGCTTTTCTCTACTTGGGGTTTCAAAGATCTAAATTATGGACCAAATACCATAGCRACCATTAATGACTTTCTGTAGAAAYCCCCACAGGTGTATGGGAGTCTCTATAGATGATGTATGTGCTGTGTGTAAYTTTAAATTTCTCTAACCGTGCTGTACAAATGTGTGGATTTGTAACCAGGCTATGTTGTTGTTCAGAGCCATTAATATAATATTTAAAGTTGAGTTCACTGGATAATTTTTCATCTTGCCCAACCATTTCTACCAATTGAATTTAAGAAATCTCTGTGGGGGTTTTCTTGAACAATTATGAAATACAATTCTTTACCCCATTGTAGGTCTTTTACAAAACAAGAAAATAATTTATTATTATAATTTTTTTGGTCAGTGGATAAAGAAGTCAAGTATCTGATACTTTTTATTTACAAAGTGTGATGGTTTTGTATAGTAGATTCCACCCTCAGTATTCTTACAAGAAAAAAAAACTTAAAAATTTTAACTTCATCTGTGTTTGTCTTATGTGGTCTTAATTGTTGTATTTACATAAAATAAACCCACGTCGTTTTTTTGCCCAAAGTTTGGACAATGTGTTTGTGTTCTTATATTAAAAAAAAAAAAAGGTGTGTTTCCAACCCACCTTTTCTGATTATTTCTGTCACACCGGTGGCTGTACGTGTAGGTACATATAGATGCTCACAGGAGTGCTCCCCCATTGTCTTATTTAGTGACAGAAAAGTCTTTCAATTAACTAAAACCTCCAAAATTAGATTTTTTTTTCCCCAGGCAATCTGAGAACAGTCCCCTTTGGATGGGGCTTCGAGAGAGACCCTGAGCTGGTCAGTTGCTGTAGTGCATTTTGTTATRTGCAGAAAAAAGTGCCAGTTGTCAAAACAAAACAGTGCCACTCCATTTCAATGTCCAGCTGTCCCCAATTTAGGAGGCAAAGGAGAAGGATAAACATTACCCATTTGCTAACTGTAAGCCAGGGTGAGTCCTACTTTCTTTCCCTCGATTTCCTAAAATGCGGGCTTCTCTTGCTCACTTCAGTGGTTTTTCCAGAAAAGAATTTGAGCTGGGCCAGCAAAGGTTCCAAGGGAATTGATTCTCTAGCATTTAATATTTCTTGCCTTTGGGACCAGCCCAGACATGGGTTTCAGAAGGCTTTACTTCCCTATTTGATTTTTAAATCTTTACCCTATTGCAGTGAATAAATTTCAAAGCTCACTGCCCTTTGAAAGCAATTTGATGCTTTTAGATTTCTAAATTTTAATCAATTTAGGATGTTAAATAATGATATCCTTACTCTTTGTGATTTTGTTATCTTTTAAAATTTTGATATCAATATAGCCTTTGTGAAATGTAGTTGAGGAAATGTCTTTCTTATCTTTTTTTTTTTTTTTTTTTGCTGGAATCTACAACTCCCCTGCTGGCCTCCACTTGTGAGTTTTGGGACTCCAGCTTCTCTCATTCCCACCCCAGCAGGTGAGCTGTGCTCTGCCACGGACAAAGCTCTTTTTGAATTTAACATTCCAGGGGACTGMGATTTAGCTACGGGTGGCTCTGCTTGGTGCAAGGCTGACTACCAATCACTGTAACCTGGGTGTTGTGTTTTCAAAATGGCCTTTTGCCTCTGTGCCACGTTAAAATAGAGTGAGGGGAAGTCTGAAGCACAGTAATTCTCCCCACATGTGCAGCACAGATTCTTCAGGCTGCGGAGGCAGAGGTGGCCGGTGGTCAAGGCTTAAAGCCTGCGGGCTGGTTCTTTCCATAGGTTCGGACTGGGGCTTGACTTGAGCAGGCACCTAGGCAGCCATGCTAGGGTTCAGTGAGCAAGAGGAGGTACCTGAGGAAGGGGTCCTCTMCTAGGGTCAGCACTGGGTGGCCGGAGCCCCTGGCTCCCGCCAGCCACACCGGTTTCACTTTGCTTCTGCTCTTCCTGCCCCTGACCCAAGAGGACCACTCAGCACCACGAGTGGGTTGTGCTCTCCTTCTCCAGATGTTCCAAAGAGACCTCCCTGAAAGCTTGCCCTGMCTTAGGGTCTGGAACTCTCGCTGCCCTGTGAATGATGAGACCTGGAAAGTAGAGAAGGCATGGAGTGGGGGAGAGACCCGGCTGCCGCTGACGCCGGGCTTCTGCACCTTAGGAAGCCTTCCTCAAGAAGCCGCAGCTGCCAGCCGGTAGCAGCCCGCAGAGCGAGGGCAATGGGTCTTTCCATTCTTCTGGGAAGGTGGGCAAGCTCAGGACGGTCGCATCTGGGGCCTCCGGAGGCGGGAGAGTGGAGACCCKCGGCCCTGGGAGGTGTGGGCCAGCGCGCTCCCTCACTCTCTCCGGGAGTCTTAAACCAAGGAGGCTGGGCGGTGCGGGAACGGCCGGGAGCTTGGTTTTGTCTGCTGCGTGTCGCCTCGCCCCAGGCTCGGCTCGCCCGGCTTCGCTGCTCCTGCGCGGCCTCAGGCCTCGGTTTAGCAGCCTCTCCTGCAGCCCAGMGGAGAAGCCCCAAGCCAGACGCTGTGAGCAAAGCGGCACCAAAGCGGCGGCCCCGCCGGCTCGCAGGTCTTCGTCCCCACGCCAAGTGTCTGCTGCCTGCCAAAAAAGACCTGGGCRCCAGGCACAGGCTGTCGGTGATCCACATATTGACTGGCTGCCTCTTTCTTAGCCCTCTCTGTCCGTGGGAAGCCTTCTAGAAGAGGGGGGAAAGGTCTGGGCAGAAGGGTGCCTGGCCTCACCCGCCTGATTCTGGGGGTGGGGGCCTCTGCCGTCCACCACATACATCTACCACGTGCTTCTTGGAAGACCCTGAGGCCACACACCACTTCACAGTGCTCAGGAAGGGACTGCCAGTGTCCTGCCCTGCCCAGGCCTCTTCCAGAACTCCCGTGAATCTGCAGCCTGGTGGCCCTCACTGCTCTGGCTCCAGTGACTTGCCCCCAAGGTGTCAACTCTGCAGTGACTTACCTCCTGAACTGCTCACATGTTGGACTAGAAATACCAAGAGCACATCTGCAGGAACGGACCTGTTGCCTCCCTGGTGCTCTGGAGCTGAAAAGCGCACAGGCTACAGAAGCAGCCCTTCTCCTTCCACCTGGCACAGCCAGGGCTTCTGGGATGGACCTCTCTTCCCCACCACCCTCCCTCTGCTTGTGAGAAATGAAGATCAGAAACTGGAAGAAGGAAGGGCAGGGTCCTGGGAATCCGGAGCCTGCCTCATAAATCTCCAGGGTCCTCTTCTTCCCTCTGCCCCTCCACTGCTGGGGGCAGGTCACTGACAGCACTGGCAGAGACTCCTGCAGGGCCCCAGAGCCAGAAGGCAGCTTCCAGCTCCCTCCTGAGAAAGAGCCGGCTAGGCAGCCCCTGCCTCCTGCCCCCAATCCAAACAAGGCCAGGGGCTGTTGGGCAGGATGGGCTGGTGGAAATTCATTGTTAACCAAAACCTGAGTGAATGGTGACAGAGCACAGAGAAAAGACCCACTTTGGTAGGACCACTGTGGCCTCAGATCCTGCACCTGGCCCTCAGGAACCCTGTCCTGCATGGGCATCTGCAGCTGTCCACCCGTGCCATGGAGCAGACGTGGGTCCGTGGAAGTGAAGGTTCTATGCCTTCGGGGCAGCTTGCTGCTGATGGAGAGGGGGTGCTCGGGGCCGGTGCCTCAGTGCCAGGTGAGGGGACAGGCTGGCTGGAGCCAYCAGGGCTGCCCTCTCTCCGGAATGCTTTCTTACCCCACATATTTGAAATGCTTTCCCAAACTTTGAGAAGCATTTGCTGCCCGCCTCTCTCTTGCGTGGCCTCAGCTCTCCAAGGCGTTTGCAATGTTTGCTTTTTGACAGAGGCATGCAAGGAAAGGAGGGGAATGTTTCAGGGGAGTTTGGAAGGTTGGCAGCCATGACCCTCTTCGGGGCTAGGCCCTATGCCTGGGAAGACGCCACCCACCTCTGACTCCCACCAGGCCTCCCCTCCCCTCTCAACATCCCTGCTCTGAATTGTGTCTTGTGCAGAGTGAGTTTTGCGGATATCACTTTGTGTGCTGTGGTTTTTCCAAATGTCTGGCTTGCGGGGAGCTTCAGCCCGGGGCTGTGAGCATGTGAAGAGGTGGAATGGAGTGGGCAGGCTGAGAAGAGAACTGGCATCCTGGGGCTTCAAGGGAATGGCGCTGGGAAGCAGGCTTCCGCCTCCAGGCCTGAATGCAGCTTCCTCCCAGGAACCCCAGCCTCACACCCCAGGCTCTGAGATCATATGACCAGAGAGGCCCCTTGGCAGCGCCTGGTTCTGCCCTCTGCCTTCCCTCTCCTGGTGGCCCTCTGGCTTTTTCTCACCTAGCTTCATGTTATCTTCGTGGACTTCCCAGGGCGGCTTTCCTTCCTTCCTTCCTTCCTTCCTTCCTTCCTTCCTTCCTTCCTTCCTTCCTTCCTTCCTTCCTTCCCTGGGGTCCTTTCTTTCTTGGTAGTACGGGGGAAATGAGCCCAGGGCACTCTGTCATCGAGTTACATCCTCAGGGCCTTGCTCCATTACCCAGGCTGGTCTACAACTTGCAATCCTCCTGCTTCAGCCTCCCAGTTGCTGGGGTTACAGGTGGGCACCCCTGGGCCCAGGTCCCAGTGGAGTCTTCCTAAGGCCTAAGGCCAAATGTGGATACACCAAATCCGGTCCTTACAAACAGGCTGGCAGAGGGCTCATGTGACCAGGCCCCATCACCTGAAGCTCTCTGGGCCAGTTTCTCAACTGGGGAAAAACAGGATGGGGGGTGGTCAAATAGAATTGTTGTGAGGATTAAGGAACATAGAGTGCACTGTCAGTAAGGACCGACCTCCTTCAGCTCTGGGGTTTTCCTGGAGAACAGAACAGAAAAGATTCTGTGGTCTCAGTGGACCSTGCTACCTGCGGTGCTTGTGCAAGGTGGTGCACCTGCCTCTGCAGCTCACTCTGAGCCTTTCACTCCTGGGAACAAGGTGAGCTTGAGGGAGTGGTCATTCAGGGTGCCCTGCCCTCTGCCTGGCTGAGCATCCTGTGGACCAGCTGGGTCGCCATTACCTTCCCCTCCTGGTCCCAGCCCATGGCCCCCACCACCACGAAGAGAAGGACAGAAGACCCTGTGCCCCAGCCTCAGAGGCCGTGGGGGTGAGGTGAGGAGAGGGTCTCCTGGGTTTCTCCAGGCACCCTCTCCTTTACGGAAGCCTCTCTTCTAGAGAGTCCTTCTCAGACCCTGATGGGGCCAGACCCCAGAGCAGCACCTYGGGGGACAATCACGTGGGTTCAGATCCCTGTTCTGTCGTTCACCAGCCCTGGAGTGCTGCACTCAGCCTCAGTTTTGTCATCTGCAAAATGGGTGAATCCTTCACACCCATCGTTCAGAGATGCTGAGAGGGTTCCGGAGGGAACTCCCACCGGCCCCGGGGGTCCAAACATGTGGCTGTTGTCATAAGATCGCTTTTCTATCTTTGGAACACTTCCCCATGAAGGACCCAAGGCAAGTCAACTTACTAGGTCTCGGTTTCCTTGTCTGCAAACTGGGAGTGACAAAAATGTCAGACCTCTAAGAGTTGTTGTGGRGGTGAAATGACTTCCTACAAGCAGCTGGGGTGACGCCAACAGCCGGGCGCGCTCCCCTGATCTCAGTGACTGACACTGTTGTTATCGCCTTTGCCTGCAATGTTTTTAGGTTGTCAGGAAGGTGCCCAGGCTGGGCCTTGTGTCTTTCCACCCACTCTTCTCCAGCAGCTGACTGTAGGGTGGAGTCTCACACATATCATTACCGTGAAGTATTTATAASTATATAGGTGATATACAGTGAACTGGCTTCACATTTAGAAGAGGGATGTGGATGTTTGAAGAGATGACGCAGATGACCCTAACTGGGATGTTTTACTGTGGGCTGARCAAGGAAGGGTGTATGGGGGCAGTGGGAGGAGCCCCCAGCTCACCACTCTTTCTTTCCAAGGCTCTTTCCCTCCCCAGAGCCTGGGCTCCAACCAGCCTCCCTGAGGAGCTCACTTCCGCTCAGTCTGGGGACTGGGAATGGTGCGACTGCCCTCGATTTCTGCTAGCGAGTTGGAAGGTCAAGCCTTCCTGCAGCCTCCGGGCACGATGGCGGTCTCAGGGTTTCCACCAGGAAGGTGGCTCTCACCAACTGACTTGGTGATGACGTGCTTTGCAGGGATCTGAAGACTTAGGAATCTGTAAGGGCTCTCTAGGACACCCACTCCTCTGTCCCGCCCACTCCCGTCGCTGTCTCACAGACTAGCTGTCCGCCAACTGGCCTCAGCCGGGTCCTCCGCCAACGGAGCTTCCGCACGAGGGCGCATCCGCTCCTGGACGCTAGGGCCTTAGGTCTTGCAGTCCCCGGAAATGTGGAAATGTGGAAATGTGCCCGAGCGCCAAGTTCGTCCCCACAGCAGCCCCACCTGAGCTCAAGTTACAAACTCTTCACCTGGGAGCCCAGAATTTATGCCCGCGCTGGCCCTGGAGCCGGGCTGGGGCGACGCTGGAGTTCACAGCTGGAATCTGCGCAGACCTCTTCAAGCRCGCAGGGCTGGGCGTGCGAAGGCAACCGCGAGTAGAAGGGGRGGGGTGATTCTTATTTATTTATTTGTTTGTTTGTTTATTTATTTCCTCCTTGTTACTATCAGTGCTCCGCCCACCGGCCCTGCGTATCTCCGCCCTCATTCGGCCTGTGCCCAAATTGGGAGGTGTTTATTAGTGCACGGATTCAAGCTGGGATTTGCCTTAGAGTTTGGAAGACGCGCCCAGACGGCACGCGTTTCCAGAGAATTGGGGATGTGCGTGCTGGACTTCGGGTGCAGGGGAGCTCTGGGAGGGGCTGCGAGGTGCAGAGGTGTGGGAGGGGGTTGCGTCGCGACACCGGTCTCTCGGTCTGGGTCTGTTCGAGCCGGCAGCGCAGAGGTGGAACTGGAGTTGGCTTCCAACCTGGGCTGACCGGATGGTGCTGATCTGGAGAGGCCCGGTGACCCCAGGCTTGCAAATGTGCTTACACTAAGGCTCTTTTCTCACCCCAGGATTGAAAGGGGGTGCACTGGCGATAAGGAGGGATCCTGAGAGGACTACGTCCGGCCTCCTCTTGTCTAGAGGACCACCCTCAGGACTTAGGCCTGCCGGCACGCTAGGCATGCATTAGTTTAGGTGCAGGTCCCGACTGGGGGACGCCAGCCCAGACCCTGGGATCTGCACCTAAACTGGGTTTTTCTGATGCTGGCTGCGACTTTCTTTTGGTATTTCAAACTCTCCGCATCCTCTGCCGTCTACGTCCTCCACGGTATCCGGAAAGCCCCAACCACGTGGGTTACCTTCCAGGTTCCTCCTAATGGAGTGGGATGCGCTCCTGCTCTTCGTGCAAAAGCTACCTGAGCTCTGGCAACCAGTCCCCAGCTTGATGTGTCTTCGTGACAGCTGCCGCGACACACCTTCCTCCCACATTAGTGCGCAGTGCCACGCCCCCTCGGGTGGTGCGTGCGGGTGGCCGTTTCTACGTTTCTACGCCCACCTGCCGTCCCCACCCTCCCTTTTCTCTTTGGCACCGCTCGCCGGTTTACTCAATGAAACGCTAATTCAGTTATCCCCAGTGTTTTCTTTTTCCTTTAAAAGAACACTCAGCGGAGATCACAAACAGGACTTGGTCACGCTACATGCCCCCACCCCTACCCCAACTTGGAGTGGGCAAGAGAGGACTCCTTTGGAATTGGTATCATTCAGGATTTTTGATTCAAAGTGTGACGTGGCTAAATGTAAAATGAGACAGAAGAGGGGCTGCTTACACCCCAGGGTGGGAGGGGGGGTTGGGGGAGAGCAAGCAGGCTTCCCAAATGCTTAATGTAATCACGGGCCAGCTGCATGCACTTGTGAAGTTGTTATAACCCCCCTCCTTGTTATAAACAGGAAAGCACAGGATATAAAGCAAAAGACCCGCATCCACAAATACCAGCTCACCCGCCAGCTGCCAAGTGCCCCTTGATGGTGTTTCTTGATTGCAACCTTAGCCCCCCAGAAAGACTCTAGTGTTGCCCCCAACTCGGCAAACAGTGTTTTTGAAATCTTCTTCAACCAGAGCTATAGACCTGGTACCCTTGTGCCTTCTGCTCGCCTCTGCCTTCCTGCAAGGAGAGGTTGGCTCCTGGGGTCCACTCCTCTTTGGGGGCATTCAGCACCTGGAGAATGCCTGTCTCCCACAGAGTGTGCCCAGCATCTGTCTGGAAAGGGCTGCACCCCACTTCAGACACCAAACCTCTCACCGGGGATACTACCTCTAAAAAAGGTTTTGGTTAAGGGCCTCAGAAAGTACTTTGTAGGGCCTTGCTCTCTCCATCTCCTAATGGCCKGGAAGAAGAGAGACCTTTTGTGGGAGACTCAAGGTTATGGGGTGCCCCCAGGCCAACAGTAAAACCCACGCTGGTGCTCCCCCCCACCCTGCCTTCCTGGCCCTGCAGACCCGGCTTCGAGCCACCCGTCCACATCCTGCCTCACTGACTGTGTGTGCTTACAGCGTCAAGGGGTGGACGTGATATTTCAAACATCAGATCAGTGCGTTTATATATTGGGTGCCCGGAAATTTTTCCAAATAAACACAGCTTGATTCAACTTGGGTGGGCGGACTTATCAACAGACTAATTCTATAAACAAATGAAGGAATAGCCCCGAAACCGATTGGCTGGTATCAAAAAGACACGTGGAGAGAAAAGCTTGGAGTTTTTCAGCAATGAAATTTTAATTAATGTGGGTGGGCTGAGAACACAACGACTGTTTATCATAGACAATTTATTTTCCAGCGCTAAGTCAACATATAATAGCAAACTTACAACAATTATTTAACATTTTTAAAGCCATGAAGAAAGGACAGAGCGCCGAGCAGCCAGGGAGAGCGGCAGAGCGGAGGGCAGACTCGAGGCAGGCTCCCCAGGAGGGCCCTTGTGGCGCGCCGCGCAGTCCTTGAGCCTCCGGGGTCGCCTGCCTACCGGAGCGCAGCGCCGGCTCTGGCTCGCCATGAGTCACCTCTTCGGTCCCCGGCTGCCTGCTCTGGCCGCCTCGCCCATGCTCTATCTGTACGGCCCTGAGAGACCCGGGCTGCCTCTGGCCTTCGCCCCCGCGGCTGCTCTGGCCGCCTCSGGCCGAGCGGAGCCCCCACAGAAGCCACCGTACAGCTACATCGCGCTCATAGCCATGGCGATCCAGGACGCGCCCGAGCAGAGGGTCACACTCAACGGCATCTACCAGTTCATCATGGACCGCTTCCCCTTCTACCACGACAACCGGCAAGGCTGGCAGAACAGCATCCGCCACAACCTCTCGCTCAACGACTGCTTTGTCAAGGTGCCCCGCGAGAAAGGGCGGCCGGGCAAGGGCAGCTACTGGACGCTGGACCCTCGCTGCTTGGACATGTTCGAGAATGGCAACTACCGGCGCCGGAAGAGGAAGCCCAAACCCGGCGCCGGGGCCCCGGAGGCCAAGCGGGCTCGCGCGGAGCTGCAGGAGCGCGGCTCAGAGGCGCGGCCCCAGGCGGCCAGCGGGGCAGCGCGCCCCAGTCCCGGAATCCCCAGCCGTGAGGGAGCGCCCAAGCGCCCCTCGCCCCTCGGGGAAGGCTCCTCTCCGCAGGCGTCCCTCCACTGGCTGGGCCCTGGGTCGCCGGACCAGGACGCAGGCGATGCTGTCCAGGGCACCGTGGCGGTGGCGGTGGGCCAGCCAGCGCGCACGGGGGATGGCCCGGGGTCCCCTCCGCGGCCGGCCTCCCGCAGCTCTCCGAAGAGCTCCAAGTCCAATAGCTTCAGCATCGACAGCATCCTGGCGGAGAGGCAGGGCCAGACACCCKCTGGAGGGGGCGAGGTCCCCGGGGACGCCAAGCCAGGGCCGGCCGGCGGCCTGGGCGCCTCACTTCTGGCCGCCTCCTCCAGTCTCCGTCCACCTTTCAACGCCTCCCTGATGCTCGACCCGCAYGTCCAGGGCGGCTTTTACCAGCTGGGGATCCCTTTCCTCTCCTATTTCCCCCTGCAGCTCCCCGACGCGGTGCTTCGCTTCCAGTAAAGCAAGCAGTGGCGCCTTCTTTCCTCTGCCCTGGCCGAGCCTCCTCTGAGCCGGTGGCCACAGTCCTTCCAGGAGAAGAGGCACATTCTTTTAAAAGGGATCTTTGCTTGTGTAGACAATAGGGTTCTGGTCAGCCTCKCCAACTTCTGTGCGTAGGTGAGCGCGTTTGCCCCCTCCTCAGGAGTGGATTTACCCAGCAAAGGGGACTGGCTTTGGAGATCTAAAAGAACCACCTTGTGGGGATTTGAACAGACCCTTTCCAGGAGAATTCCTTGACCTAATGACTTGATCCTCTGCTGCCACCATAGGCCCTGGGCTACTAGGCAGGAGAACCCTGCTGACCACCTGAACAGAGGACTAACAGTCACCGTGATCTTTGGATCTACATACTATGGTTGCAGGCTCCCATGTCTTGCATGGCCTGGGCTTTGACTTTGAGTCCCCTGTGTTGGGGGGGGGGCAGTTCTCAGTTGGCTTTGTCCCAGAAGTCCAGTTTGGGACTCAGGGTGGCCCCTATTCCATGGGGTCATTTTGGAAATGTAGGCCTGGTTAGCATTTATGACCAAGGTTAAGGTGGATGCCAAGAAACCCCGGAAAGCAGTAACACTTGTATTTTAAATGGAGAATTCTTCTCTGAATTTCTTTCTAGGCAGTAAAAGAAACATGCTTTATTCTTTGCCTAAACACTTGACTCTTTCTACTCTCACAGTAACAGCTTCTCCTGAGGCGCATCCTGGGTAAGGTGGTGTTCCATTGCCTAGTGAGATGAGTCTACCTTTCCTGCTGGGTCTATAATTCAGAATAGCCGCTCTGCTTTTGCTTTTGTTTTTAAGGGATTGAAAGATTTTAAGTGACAGGGGGAGGGTGTGGAGGGTGGAGTATGCCTTAGACGACATCAGATTTTTTTTTTTTTTTAATTTCCATAGTTTTTCAAGATCTGGGTTTGGTTTTCGCTACATTTTCCAGAATCCTGAAATGAAGGACTAATTTAATCCAAAAAGCCAAATGAAGCAAACGTAAACTGATTGAGGGAGAGATGGGTTAATTTGGGAAGAGCAAGAAAACTTGCTATTGACTGAGGAAGGGTCCGGCCCAGGAAGATTGCAATAGAGCCTGGTGGAGCATTCTCTCAGACACTCCCAGCCTGGGACAGGGACACCCACTCCAAGCCCCTTCCTGCAGACCAGGAGGCTGACTTTGAATAAACACCTTGAGGAGGTGATTGGAAGTCTGTTGGGCAGCTGGGTCTGCCACAAAGATCTGGTAAGCTCCAGCCTCTAGGGGACCACTCTCAGACTCCCAGACTCCCACGCACCTCCACTTGGGCTGCCTTGTGTGTTCTGAAACTTGATTTCCTGAACGTCCAAGGAACTTGTGTCTTGTCTGGTGTAGGAAAGGTACAAAGAGCCATGAGTTCTTGGAAGTGGACTGAGAGAGGCCTTCAGAATAACTAAGATACTTCCCAGGACTTGTACAGAAATGGTTCTGAAGTCAAGAGGGCTTCCTGGTCCATAGGTTCGAAGGATGTTTGGGGCAGGCAGAGTGAGCCGAGAGCTCCTAGGTGCAGAGCCGGCTTTCTGGAGATCCCTTTGCACAGCCACCATGCAGACTGATCCGCAAGCATTTCCAGGGCAGGGTTCTACCCAGGCTGACGGGAAGACTGTAGTGAGCTCAGGAGTGTCCTTGATTTGCAGAGGCCCATTGGCGAGGGCTGGGCTCACTGTGCTGAACTTAAAATGTGGTGGGCTGTCATTGGATATTTTGTTATCCCACACTCTCAGCCTCTGTGAATAAAGTTGTTTTTACATTAACCTCTCAGTGCCTGGTTCAGTGGATTACTAGGGGGAAATAAACAAACAGTGTAATAGGAAAGAGGAGACTGGGATTACGGTCCAGAGCCATGCGGCAGCATGGGAGGCTCCGGCTCCTGAGAGGAACAGGCTGAGGGGGGACTGGGGGACCCAGTGCCCCAAGGAGTCTGGGGACACCAGAAAGGAAGTTGAGTACTTGAGCTGGGTTGGGTGTTTTTAATTTTTCTTTTTCTTTTGTTTGATATGCTGTCACGTTCTTCATTGGTGACCACTATTTTTCAAGAAACAAATAATCTAATACTACTATGTGAAAAAGGTTGTGTTTAGACTTAAAATTCAAAGAAGCATTGTATGAACATTATTTTTGAGGCACAGAGACATGCAAGAGTATGTGTGTACTTTGTGTATTTRTACATACAGGAAGGCGATTCTATTCAACCCTCCCTCTCCCCAGATTTAGAAATGCTAAGGAAAATGGATTTTGGAGTGATTTATGTAATTTTGTACATGTTTCTTCCTACTGAAGGAAAAGAGGGGATTTGGGCCTTATTGACCCAAACAGTTGCTCTAATGCCCATACTTATCATCGGCTCAAAATTATAGATGGGTGAGACCAAGAAATGGTCTGTACCTTTAATTAAAACAGAATCTTAGCTCCATTAAGGGAAAACCAGAAGCAAGYTTATGGTTCTGCTTTTATACAACCAGTTCAAGGTTTGCATCTCTGCTCTCCTCTGAATGAAGTGATCTTTGCTCCAAGCCCTATCTCTTTCTCTCTCACACACACAGATTAATACACTGATCATAACGGAGGATCTGAAGGCACTAATGGTAAGTGTGTATACATACATTTATATGTACACACATGCATGTTATGGTATTTACATATACATATGTATGCCTGTGTATGATATATGTATGCACACCTACATGTATATGTATATGTTAGAGATATGAACTCCCAGAAATACACCCTTTTTGCATGTAGATTGGATTTGTTGGGTCCTTTCACATTAGCCCAAACATTGATATTATTGAAAGATTTTATTTTTCTATATAATTTTCTACCATTTTGTTTTCCTATACAGTTCAAGCTAGGGACAGTTTATTTTATTTTATTTTTTTGCATTAGTTTTATTGTAATAAAACTAACAAAGACTTTATAAAGTAATCTTGGAAGATGAAGCCACTTTGAGAACTTGGCCTCTACGATTTTTACGAGGACAGAAAACTTTGCAGAGGTCTCCTGCTTTGTCTGGCTTTGGGAATTTGCCGGCTCTTGTAGGAGCCAGTGTTCTCCAGGCTCCCAGCACACTCTGGGAGAGTTCAGAACCCAGAAAGCCTGCTTAGACCTTTTCAGAAATACCATGTTCTCTGATATGCAGTCACAGTGTGTATCCCTGGGTGGGTTACAGAATTAGCCCAATGTGATTATTTTATAGCCCAGACCCAGAGCCTAGCTGCCAACAGGAGGCTGTTGCTCATGTCACAGAAGTAGGGGACAATCTCAGAAGCTAGCTGYACCTTCAAGTGAGAGAATCCAGCAAGTCAGGGTCTTGTGCCTTACCTCCTTCACGGTGGCTGGACTCTGGCTTCCATGAAGTAAAGCCTTTTTCACAAAGTAGAAAATGCCAACTACAACAAGCACAGTTTATCATCAAGAACAAAGAGCACGAGCTTGTTGGGAAAGTAAAATTCTTTTGCTTTTTAAAGTAATTTGAAAATATAACCTGAAGAGCCAAATGGAGAGTTCTCCACCTTGCTGGCCTTTATCCAGAGATCCTAAGGCCCAGTTCTCCTGGGTACACAGTGACCCGGAGAGGTCATAGACAGACAGTGCCTTGCCTGGCACGGATGAGGCCCTGGGTTCCATCCCCAGGAGAGAGAGAGAGAGAGAGAGAGAGAGAGAGAGAGAGAGAGAGAAATTGGTGAGGTCTTGGCTGAGTGGTGGTGGGGGTCTGTCCCTTCAAATGGCATCCAAACACTAACTGCCCTGGGGACATCAGACGTGGGGCTCATAGGCCAAATGTGGATCAGAGGGTCTGAGCTCAGGGTCTGCACTGTGGGGCTGCCTGGCCATCTGAGGTCCACAGGTAACTCAGGTGTCTCTGTTTACTCTGACAGAGGGGACTGAGGCATAAGGGCAGATGGTGGGGCAAAGATTTGGCTTCCACCACTTACCTATCAGGTGTGAGAAGGGAGGTCCTGGCAGAGAAGGGAAACTCACTAGGGCAATGAAGAGACCAAGGGTGGGGAAGGACAGGGACACAGGTACCAGCAAGGGGAAGTGCTCTGCCACACGCTCTCCCAGCACCTCGGCCTGCAGCAGGCCCACCTTCGGATCCAGAGCAGGAGGGAGCCCGGCGCAGTGCCCAGCCTCACCCTGATGCCTCTCATTGACTGACACCTGTCAGAGACCAGCGAGAGGGACCCCGGTAACACATGGTCACAGGGGTCAGCTGAGGRGTAGATGGGCTGAGAAGGGACCAGTGTGTGGGTGGGGAAGGGTGCTTCCTTAGGCTCATTGGTGGCCGCTGCCCAGATACCGAGGCGCAGCAGGCTGCCGGTGGCAGGCAGAGGGTGGGCTCTCCCACGGGTCGGCTTCCTGCCGGGGGCAGCTCCAGACCTGGTCTGTTCCTCTTAGGTGGGTGGGACCAGGGCCTGGACTTGACCTCATGGTCTTGCCCCCACCCTGCCGTCCCTGTCCTCAATCTCTGCAGGGGGGACACTGCCTTGGCTCAGGTCGTTGAGCATCTGAAGCAAGGCGTTCCTTGCTRCTGGCCTTCTGGATTGACCGACGCTGCCTTCACCTTCTAGAACACGTGCCCACCCTTGGTGGGGGCCCTGTCTCCCTGATGTCCAGCTCTGTCTCTTCTGTGCAGCAAGAGATATTTTAACCCTCCTGGTGCCCCAGGCATCTGCCATGCTAGGCGCTGGCCACCCCCCACTGACCTCCTACCCCCACTCTTCCAGGTCTGGTGGACACACCACCCGAGACGGGGAGGCCCTATCATGGGCATCTTACTGGTTCCTTTCATTCAGTACTTGGTGTTTGGTGGGGTGGGGAGAGGCCAGTCACTGGGGCCTCTGCCTCATGGTGCTGTCCTGAGCAGACAATTAACAGACAGGCATCCACTGGTTTGACAGACCCACCACGTGGGCAGAATGGGAGGGACCTACCTCCTGCCTGGGTGGTGGTCAGAGTGGAACTGGTTGACATCTGGCACACAAGAAGCACTAACGGAT